AGTCAGTCAACTTTGGCTGTCTGGAAGCCACTGCAGTCCTAGAGTGTTCGGCTACCTTGTACTCCTTAATAGCTTTATCCTGCCGTACCTCCGATTTTTGTTTAATTTGTTTTGTAAATTTTCCCTTTGCTTTCATTTCTCCTTCAAACTTGGAGTCTGCTGCTTTCTTTTTCGGCTGGAAGTCAGCTCCTAAAACAAGTCAAGTATAGCCCTTCATGATCGTGGACACAAATGAAATTAAGGTGAGTACATTCTCCTCTTCAGATCTCCTGCTACATGCATGAAGGTCAGAAGGGACAGGACTGCGCGTGGTCCAGTTCTCTCCCCACTTCAAGCTTTTCAGTCATTCTGGCAAATGAATAAACAGAACTATAGATGTCTTCTCTCTGCCACCAACAACCACAATTTCTGGAACAGCTCCTATAGATGTAAAATTACAATGTTTCAACCTCTGCAAAGGCAATCCACTGAATCTCCAAATTCAAAGGGGGAAGTAATCAAATTATATTATCTTCCTAATTGTGTGACTTTGGACTTTGAAGAAGTAGGATAGGAAGAGTATTGATGCTTTTGAACTTTGGTGTTAAAGACTCCTGAGAATACTGTGGACAGCCAAGAAAACAAAAATGGATCATCAAACAAATCAACCCAGAATTCTCACTCAAGGCACAAATGACCAGGCTCCAATTATCCTACTTTGGACATAAGACATAGCTCTCTGGAGAAGGCTCTAATACTGGGAAAGGTGGAAGAGAAGACTCAAATACACTGGCTATGAGTGTACCACTGTTGGAAGATAGGGACAGATTATCATGGAGAAAAACTATCTGGTTGCTAAGAGTCAGCAGTGACTTGATGGCACATAATCAAGTGTGTCTCTTAATATCAGTTGTTATCCTGAACAACTTTCTTTGGATGAATTCTTTGAGGAACAGGGAGAACAGAATTTGAGTAAAGAGCCAAGTAATCTAATCCAGTGATGCCAGGGAATAATATTGAGATCTTAGTGGAACCACCTTCCATTACCTGACTCTCTAACCAGGATTCTGATCAAGATACATAGACCTGGGCTGCAAGAACTGTGGCACTACTGCACCAAGAGACAAAGGGCAGAAAAACAAAGGCCCAATTATTTGGAAGAACACTTTAGGAATAGTAGTCTGCTTAGGAGTACTGGGTGTTTGCTCCTGAGTAGCTCAGTTTCTGTAGTTAGTTCTGATCAATATAAAGTTCATTCAGATCGAGAACAGGAGCTTCCAATATTTAAACTTCTTTAGGAGTTTAAAATACTCCTATGGACTGTTTGACTACGGAGGAGTCAAAACACAAAATAACTTTCCTGAACAATCTGACTTTAGCCCTGGTACAGCTTTCTGTAAATCCTTTGGACCTGCTTTGCTGCTGGTATTGAATCTTGAAGAGACTATGGAGTGGATTATGACTACTATTGTCCATTGTAAGTATACTCTGCTGACTTCTTACATTGGACTATTTGACTATGCCTCTTACCCTAGTAAGTGCGCTAGGGATAGGCAGTTAATGAATTGGGCATTCCTACTGACTCGCATTTTGCTCGCAGTTTCCCACAGGCACTGGATGGCGGTTATGGGAACAGAACAGACTACATGGTTGGAACATTTACTGATTCCATGGGAATTATTTTCATGCAAACTAGATTAGATGTTTTATTTAATATTTCCCACAGTTGCCATCCTATATACAAATTACTTCAAGATATAGTCTGTCAGACTCATTGGAATGTACTGTCTTGGGTACAGCTGTAAGTCATTTTACAGATGAGGGAGAAGCAATCTTAAGCATTTTAGTAAAAAAAGTATCAACAGTATTTAAGAAACTCATCTCTCATTCAACCAAAAACTTAATTCAACTGAGTTCAAAGAACAGAACTAAAACTACATTTAGTTGGAACATACCATTGCAAGACCTTAAGTATTTTCCAGAAGGTTGTATCTTTTAATTCTCCTTAAATATATAACATAAAAACACACAAATCATAAAAATGTTAACAATGTATAAAACAACAGTGAGGACAGCATTATATAATTCGGATGCAAGACATTTTGCAGTGATGTACATAAACAATATTAAAATATTTCAGGGAATTATTTTTGAAGATACCCAATGTTTTGTAAATCGATTAGCTTTTTGTTTTTTCACTTTACCTAGAAACAAGAAAACAGACAATTAGTTGAAAACACTTTAAGAAGTCAACAATATTAAAGCCAGGAATGTCAGACTGAAGGGTTTTAACCAACAGTTGCTGCTGCTGTAGGTTCCATAAAAGCTCAGATTTGCCCCTGCTTGAGCAACCCCATTTAAGAACACACCTTCCACACACCCCTCCATTCATCTTAACAGAATCTATTAAAACTATGAGCTATACAGCATATAGAGTACTCTTAAACAATCTGCTTGGAACTGCCATCATGGAGCCTGCTCACTTTATGGTAATCAGGCAGAAAGAAAAGTAGTCTTCCTTCCATCTCTGGGGTCTGGGATTGTTTTCTTTTAGCCTATTGATCAGATTTTTTTTGTACCAGCTATATAACAGGGATAAACACCTTTCTGTAACATTATGGATTTGGTGGCCCAAAGAAACAAAGCACCTTGCCTCTCTTTTCCTCATCCAGTATCAAAGCTCTGATATAAAGACAAGCAATCACTAATATAAGAACTCACTCTCCAATCTTACAGGGATAAACACAAAAATGCCTATTGTTTCTGGGAAGCCTTTACAGGGATTACAAACTAGAAAGTTTTTCACTCAAGTCTCGTACCATTCACCAATTCAATGGCCTTATATATAAACTACAATTCTCAAATTCTCAGCATGATATGAACATATCTATTTAGCTTTCCTGGCAAAAATACTGAAGCAGTTTGACATCTGCTACCTTCTGGGATTTTTTTTTCTTTAATTTTCCACTGTAGCCTATAGTCCTGGAATCTCTTGATGGTCTCACATCCAACTACTACCAGATCTGACCCTGTTTGCTTTTTTAAAATGAACTAAGGTTGACTATATGTGCTGTTATATGTATTTGTTCAAAACCAAAGGTGCTTTGAATACTAAGACATTTAAACAGCTACTTACCTTCTTAAATTTCATGGACAGATTTATCACCCAATTTCACACCCAAGCTCCATAATTATATCCCATGGGTATAAATGATGAGATGTTACAAACATCTTTAGCTACTTGTGCTTTTGTTACATTTGACCATATTTGTTTTTTTCATATGCGGGATCATGTAGGAAAGCTACCATTTTGATGAAAGTCCTTCAAAATGACTAGAGCAGTTATTTTGGACAAGATTTTCACTTTTAGTATATGTTTCTCATTTAAAAGAAAAAGGGTCATCCAATGCCAAGCCTGACCTTAAAATACTGAAGTCAATACCACTACAATAGCTGTTTTAAATTGTTGCTATAAGACAAAAGAATATCATCTTACCCCAAGATTTATTCACAAACTGGATCGCAGCTTTTTTAACTGCATTCTTCTTGTTTTCAACAGAAAAATACTGGTTTGCTGGAATAACAAGAGCATTTTAACTGAATTATATTTATTGTTGAATCAATGTATTTTATAAGTTCATTATGCAAAACTCCCTTACCAGTAGTTCGATTGCAGCTTGCTCCATAAAGCTGTCTTTGTATAAAGTCTTTGGCTTCCTGCTGCCGTTGACTAGTTAAGTCTTGGTCTTTTAACCGTACAGCCATATAATTTTTGGGACATCTAATGATAAAGAAATAGTTAACATATTTACTACCTTGGTTTTCTACTTCATTTTACTGAAGCAAAACTATATTCCTAATATTTTAGCCAACATTTTCTTAATTTGACCAAATAAAGCAATAACATATGCAAACAAAGTATCTCTTGTCTAAATATATTTCCATTATTCATGTATTTACATGCATATACTCCCTCACTTTCAAGACTTTGGGCAGGGCATTTCCATTATTCATGTATTTACATGCATATACTCCCTCACTTTCAAGACTTTGGGCAGGGCATTTCCATTATTCATGTATTTACATGCATATACTCCCTCACTTTCAAGACTTTGGGCAGGGCTGTTCAATTTCCCAGACTTTGGGGCAGGTTTACATAAAATTAAAAGATAGGTAAGTAGGTAGGTAGATATGGTTCATTTAGGCTCAGATTAAGCAGTTTAATTTGAAGAATTACCTAATCACAGCATGAACGCTATTACTGAATTCAAGCTTATCAACAGTTGTGTTGTTTCAAATATTTAGCTTACATAAAGTGGTTGCCACTTACATAGTTTGCCTTTCATGTACAACTGGTACTTCAGTTTGAACTGTACATTTGAGGCCACTGATATTGGCACTTTCAGGTCTAAACAACTGCAAAAATCTGCTTGAAACAATGAATGTGCAATGGCAAACCTCATGTGCTTCTTACAACATTTAAGAATTATTCTAGATCACTGCAAAGCCTCACCATCCATAATACATGTTTCTTCAGCATGTACCACATCAACTACAGCTATAGAATTTGAAGCTAAAACAAAAAAATATTTCTAAAAAGTGCTGTAAGAGTGACTTCCTTTTTAACTAACTATGCCCTCTCTTCTTAAAATAATTTAAATTGGAACATTATGAAAGTACAGCACATCTAAGTGATTTCTTGAACCTTTGGGAGAGAAGTACACCTACAACTGCCAAAGTGAGAACGCTCTTTTTATTTGAGAATAAATTTCATATTTTATAACCACGTAAGGGGAACAGTAAGCAAATCAGATTTTGCAAAGATGTGAAACAATGATATTTTCTTGAAATTACTGTAATAATTTAGTTCATCATACTAAATAAGAACTAAGCCAGACTTCCTAAACCTGGGGCCCTCGTAAGTATGGAATTCAAGCTCCCAGAATTATCATCATGCTGGCCAAAAAATTCAGGGAGTTGGTCTACAGATCCAGAGGGTACCCAGACTGGGAAGGCTAATCTAAGCCATACCTGGTTGCCAATATTTCTTCTTCACTGTGTTTTTCTGAATCTTCATGATTTTCAACTTCATCTTCAACATTCTGATCTATAAATCAATACATGTTCTTGATATTAAAGGCCATATGAAAGACTAACACACATTTTTTCAACTCATTTTAAATGGGATCCTAGAAACTATTGCTAATGAATGTATGAAAGAAGCTGATGACTTTTGTTAACAGAAAGTTACAGTTCTAGACCCAATCTAAATGTGAATTTTGAAACAATAAATATGGCAAGTAAGCATTAGTCTGCATGCATAAACCTCAAAGGTTTTATATAAATCCTTTATAAGCCTGAATTTTGATGGGAAGCTATTGAGAAATTTGACAAGCCACTTGGGAAAAATCCCTATGATGTCTTTTTATTATTTATTAATAATATATTGTTTAGACAACTGGGCAAACCATTAAGCTGGCTCAGCACTGAGTACAATCACTTGTACTATTTGCAGGCAGATACGGTTATTATACTTGGTGGTTAGCTGATCTTAGTATGACCTATGATGCACAACTTTGCTTAGTTCACCCAGAAGAAACAAAAAAAAAATGTTTTTAGTTTTGTTCAGAGCTTTGTCCTCTGATTTCTATGAAGATAAAACCAGAGTCCTCCACTTGTACTTGCTCATGGATGGAAACAGCTCTTTGCTAACTTAGACTTAAGGTTTATATGATGTTCTATATTTCTCACTGCAAACTATTATTAACAATCCACTTGGAACGGTTTATAGTTATCTGAAAAGGCTGGGATTACAAAAATGCTAACTTTTTAAAAAGTACATAGAAGTATTTACTGATCAATACTAGGCAACAGTGATAATTTTTTTAATGTAGGATACTGTCTTATCTACTAAGGCTTTCACATCATTCTTCTAGACCTCTCAGAAGCACCTGAATGGCCATTATCAGAAGCAGAGTATTTTATATATTCACCTATTTAATGTATTAAATATTAATTTATATATTTTTTTCATATGGCCCCACTCATTTTTCCCATTTGACACTTAGCCTGTCATACAAGACTAAATGTAGATCTCAAGCCATACGTTGTTTATACTATGTTCACAATATGATAAAGAACAGTAAAGGTAATGTATAATGAGCAGACTTTTGTACATACCTTGCTCAAGTACATCAGATGTCTGATTGGTGCTAATAGAAGAAAGTTGCACAACATTTAGGAAGACATTTCATGATAAATCTATTAATAGTTATTCACATATGCAGCAAAACTACATCAATACTGAGCTAATTAAATTTATAACATTAATTTAATTATGTTGACAGATTGTAAATTCCCCATATACTTTCTTCTCAGAAACTGACAGAGAAATTTTTGAACAGGAGGAAATAATTTAGCTCTCTTTTAGCTAGGCACAAAAATAGTCAAGTACTTGACTCATTAACAATAGAAGACTTCACCCTATTCCTCTCAGACCACAACTTGTTTTTGGTTTTACAAATGCCTTCTGATACAATTTGGTAAGCATTCTGTTATTTAGAGAAAAGACTGAGGGACATGATGGAATTAACCACTTTCTCAGGACTTCAGACAAAGATAAAATGTAGGTCAAAATTTGGAACAGTCATTTGTAGTCCAGAACATATTTGCTTACCTATTCTGTGTGGATGCCAACTCCTCCAACAAATTTTCAGGAAGCAGCTTTCTTTTCTTAGAAGATACAATTTTTCCAGTTAATACTACTAGTCAGTAACTTAGTCATTTTTTTTTATTAGTTATAAACCGTAGACCTAGTCAATTTAAGGCAGCAAATCTAAGTATGAAAATATAACTACATTACAACAATAATGTAATACTTAAACACATATTGAAATGGGTAGGAAGCACAGTGCCCTCCAGATGTTCCCACCTACAACTCCCAAAATCCCTGATCACTTGTGATGCTGGCAGAAAATCTTGACTTAGAGTTGTCAAAACAACTGGAGGATACCAGACTGCAAATCACGCGTTATAATCAAACAACCAGAGAGCAAGAACTTCTGTATGATAAGTTGCTTGTTAATGTCCCAGAATTACCTGCTTTGATTCTGTAATAAGAGCACTAAGTTTACTTTTGCAAGCTGCCACATGTCCTGAGAACAGAAATGGTTTTCATGCTGGGAAATAATGTGGGCATCCCTAAGAATAGTTTATTTCTGTATCATTTATTGCACCCAGTGCATATTCCTTTGTGATTTTCACTGCTTAAAAGGGCCTTGCCCAATCTGGTTCTCTTTGGATATGCTGAAAAAAACTCATATCATCCTCTATCAAGTCCAACTCACTTGGAGGACACATTAAGAAAGGCTACTTTAAAGTGGTAGATGGAACACTTACTGGAGACACAATGCAAGATTTATGTCCCAGTGCTAGTAGCTTTTCACTAAGACAAATCCTTGTTTAATAATTTCTGCATGCTGTTATAAATTCTCTCAAAATCAGGAGGCTGGATACATAGACAAACTTACAGTGAAATACTATATGGACTGTAATGGAGTTTATTCCCAGTGTGGAATCAAAAGGCAAGTCACAAATGCAAAATAATCAAGGCTTCATGGCAGTGTTTATTAGACAGTACGCACTGGAGGGGAACCCCACCAAAGGTTAGTGGGAGACACTCCCCTATAGGCAAAATGGATGCCCTGATATTTATACAGTTCTTCAAGAAGGGGAAGGGAAAAGAACACATACACATACATATTCATGATGATGCAGGCACACCTAAATGAGCAATACTTCTCAAGTTACTCTCTGCCCCTGTTCTTGTCTGCTATCTAGAAGGACAGAACAACTGCTATTTATAAGGAAAGCAATAGTGTCAGAGAGGAAGAAACAAATTGGTTCAAGGTGCCAACTGCCAGGAAGAAAGCATCCCCCCTTACGTTGCTATGGGGATGTTTGTGATAAGGAGTTTACAATCAGCCTTGTTCACACCAGCTTCAAGGATGCTGCACGTTCCTTTATGTTTCAATTTTATTAAGGCGATCCCATTCGTTTGAGGCCTCTAAAAACTTGCTTCTTTCACCCAAAGATATATTTTCCTCACACCAGGTAAAGTATAAACATGTCTATATTAACCTTTTTATGTTTAACAAAGCATGATGAGTATATTTTGATACATATTCTGGAAAAAGAACATTTAGCATATAAAACAATCTAAAGAATAATAAAAGTGAGGTGCAAAATTACCTTTTGTTCCTTAAATAGTTCTTCTCTATGTCGTCTCTTTCCTTTCAATATGGCCTTTTCTCTAAGAAAGCAAAATAAGCCATAGATAGGAAAAGAAACAATATGCATTTGCTCCACAATCAAAGCCGAATGCTTTCACAAAGTGCTTGCTAGGTACAGACTGGCCTAACTAAGGGAGGTTTTCTTTTAATTGGCTCCTGGGATGTGTCACTTTGGTCAAAACCTGTATCCTTGCAATGAGCATAATCACTGTCCAGAGTCACAAATGTTAAGAGGCTCAACTTTATAAATTGCTTAAATAAATAATCGGGCTAAAGACAATGGCGAGTGGAGGTAGGGCAGCGAAATTCCTTCTGAAAGTTTGGCCAGAAAAGATAGCGTTTACAATATCGGACAAGGGGCTACTCCCGAAAACGACCCGCCGCAGTTACTTTAAATGCAACGTCCTGCTACCTCGGCTTGCTTTTTGCTTCCCTGCCTTACTGTGCCGGAGCAGCGCTCTCAGGAGTGCATGCAATGGGCGGGGCGGGGCGGTGAGGTATCAGCCAGGCCGCTCCAAGGCCGCCGTCGCTCTCTGCCCCTGGCGCGCCGCGCTGGTTCTCGCCACGGAGGGCGGAGGTCTTGTGTTACCTGCGGGCACGCTCCCCCGCCAGCCGGCGCCCCTCCGCAGCGATCTCCCGCGCCTTCTCGAAGGTCACCTCCTCTGGAGCCTCGTCGCTTTCTTCCTCTTCGGAAAAGGCAGCGGCGGCCACAACCGCCGCTTCCGTTTTCTCCCTTGCCATAGCGCGATCCCTCCCCATCGCCATCTTGCTAACCCAACTTCCGGTTAACCTTTGACTCCATCACCGGAAGCAATCCGGCGGATCCTAAAAGAAGAGGCGCTGCGTGCTTGCCTTCGTAAAGTTAAGCAAGGCGGATGGCGGAAAAAAATCTGAAGCGCCCGGAAGCCAACCTCCGCTTTCATATCAGAAACTTTTTTAAAAAATCAAATCACCCCGTTGATGATTTGTGGAGCCAACAGAAATAATTTACAGTGTAGAATACCTGTAACTGGGTATTAAAAATAAAGGATCTTTATAAAGGACCACGGATAAAATGTATTTTTCTCCAGTAAAATGTAGTTTACTGGAGAAAAGCCACATGCATCAGGGAAAGAAGAATCGAAAACGCAGATTCTGACAATTACTTTTCTTAGACCAATTGAAGCGTTTTACGCTTCCCGCTACCCCCAAAACTAATAGAAGGCCCGGTTCATGCCCTTTCAGTGCGTCTATCTGTGCATTAGATTGTATCTTGCTATTTCTGAATCGCTCATCATCCTGAGCAGCAGACTAAGGTGATGCTGGTTGGACCGGCAGGAACTGTCCAAAACGTGGACTACTGTAGTTGGACTGAAAACTCTATATTTGGACAGAGTTTGGCTGTCCAAATATAACAACCCTCTTCAAACACAATGGAGAATTGCCGGCTGCTTTTCCATTAGCAGAATGGAGCAGGCGGGAGATTCACTGAGGTTGAGCGCTGCATCCTGTGTTCAGTGCTTGTATGAAAAAAAAACTTGCATAAATCTAAATCTATTGCCAAGCCTTTGGTCTGAGCCCTTCTCACTACCATACATTATGGTGGCAACCTTAATCCCCAAAACATAACATACGATCGATTTATTTTGGTGTGTTGTCACCTCGTGTTTCCCAAATGACACAGCCGTAGATAATCACAGCTACTCTGAAGCCCCAAGTTTCAGATCTGTTTGTAGGAGACACAGAAAAACATTAAAGGGCACAAGTCCCATTACAGGTAATCCTTGCTTAACAACCTATTTGGGACCAGCATTTCTGTTGCTAAGAGAAGCGGTTGTTAAGCAAAACATGTGAGTGTGCTGCTTAGCAACGGCAGTTCCAGCAGTCCTGGTTGCAGTGGTTAAGCGAGGACTGTGCAGTCATCAGGCGAGGACGTCGCACTTCTCCTGCCCTGCACAAACTGCCTCCAGTTCAACTCCCCCCCATCCCCCCCCAATCTCTGCCCTTTCAGCTGCTCTGCACAGCATGGCCAAGATGAAGATGTTGCCACCTATTCGCTGCTGCCCCCACTGACCATCATCTTCTTCGCCTTCCCTCCACTGGGCTCGCCTCTGCCCCTCACCACTGTATCCCTGGCTGCCAGGCTCCTGGCAGGCCTGCCCTGTGTCAACAGTCCCACCCCACTGCCCAACTACTCTTCAATGTTTTTATTAATGACTTGGATGAAAAGCAGAGAGAGTATTTACCAGATTTGCAGATGACACAATATTAAAATGAATAGCTAATGTTTTGTGGACATAAAATTCAACATGATCTTAGTTAAATGGGCTGAAGATAACAGTGATATTTCACAGAGACAAGCACAAAGTCCTTCACTTAGGAAACAGATATCAAATGCACAAATGTAAGACAGAAGTATTTTGATAATTGTACTTGTGAAAAAACTGCCAACTGAATATGAAAAAGTAATGTAGTTTACTGGAGAAATGCCACATGCATCAGGGAAAGAATTATTTCCAAATCACAGGAACTAAATGTTCTAATCTGCTTTGGCTAGACTCCATTGCAAGTACTGTGCCAATTCTGAGTACTGGGATTCAGAGAAATTGGAACAGGCTTAGAAAAGGGCAACAAGGATTGTTAGTGGCCTAGAAGCTAAGTCCAATGAAGAAAGCTGGAAGGAGCTAAGTTTAGCCTTGAGAAAAATGACTGAGAATGGGATCTGGTATCACCTTTCAAATTTGTTGTTGTTTAGTCGTTAAGTCGTGTCCGACTCTTCGTGACCCCATGAACCATATTGCACCAGGCCTTCCTGTCCTTCACTGCCTCCCTGAGTTTGCTCAGTTTCATGCTCATTGCTTCAGTGATGCTATCTAACCATCTCATTCTCTGCCGTCCTCTTCTCCTTTTGCCTTCAATCTTTCCCAGCATCAGGGTCTTCTCCAAAGAGATCTCTCTTCGCATTAGGTGGCCAAAATATCTGAGCTTGAGCTTCATTATCGATCCTTCCAATGAGCAATCAGGGTTGATTTCCTTTAAGATTGACTGGTTTGACCTCCTAGCAGTCCAGGGGACTCTTAAGAGTCTTCTCCAGCACCACAGTTCAAAGGCATCAATTCTTCGGCGCTCGGCCTTTTTTATGGTCCAGCTCTCACAGCCATACATTACTACTGGAAAAACCATAGCTTTGACTATGCGGATCTACCTGAAAGGATGCCATATGGAAGATAAAGACCTGCTCTCTCATTCCAGACTGCAGGACACAGAATAATGGATTGAAGTAACAGGAAAGCAGATTTTAATTTAATGTTGGGGGGGGGGGAGAACCTTAACAGTAAGTTTCACACCCCAGTGAGGGCCATTAATATTGTCAAGGCCATATGCGTTTCTTTTATACTAAAGGAAGTTCATACTCACTGCCATGAAACCTTTTAAAGACAGATCCATCTCCCAAATGTTACACGGCTTTCATTATATGATAATTATTACTGTATATAATCCCTTAAATATTATCCAATCTAGATATCTAAGAGCCCTGTTGTAGGTATCTTGCTACATTTCAAATGTAGCAATCCACCTAAAAACTGAGATGATTCTGCTGGTGCCAAGAATCTGCATGTGCTGGCTCTACTTCTGACTTTTCTTCACTTTTCCAGCAATTCTCTAACCATGACCCTTACTGATAATTTTTCCTCTTTCCAAATAATTAGAATCCAGAATTATCTATGCCAGGGTTCCTTCTCATACCAAGCTCTGCTAGCCATGGGGCTATTAAGAGCTAGAACCACAGTTCAGCAGCAGGTCTTCAGTTAAGTCTGTCCAGGGCGATCTAGGTAACGAATAGTGAGTGGCAGGACATAAATAGAAAAGCCTTCACACCAGCAGATTACACATTTATTTGATAGTACCTGTTCCAACACACTGTGGTGCTCCCCTTTGGCCCACTTTACGGTCTTGTCCTCCATGATACTCATATAACAATACTTCTTTTGCAGAGTGAACTTGCCCTTATTTGGAGGAACTTGAAACTACAAGTTCCTTCACTGTTATTTCTACATAATTTTCACCCTACCCTCATAATGCTATTTGCTAACAGAAGTTCCACTTGTTCTGAGCATGATTTTATTAGATTATCAGACCAGAACCTAAGCATCTCCAAGAGTCACAGTATTTTTTACAGCTACCATTGCTTTACATAGGAAAATACTGCCTTACTTTTAGGATTTTACAACTATGAAAAATTATTTATGCTTTTTATGACTTTTTGTCACACGTGACTGGTCACTGACCACAATAAAGTTATAATAAGCTAAAGAGATTGTGGCTGTGATCAGAGGCTAGACAGCGATTTGACTAGAGTGCTTTAATTTGGATTCTTGCACTGAATAGCCAGTTGGACTCAATGGCTTAAATGGCCCCCTCCAACTTTAGGATTTGAGAAATATATTTTCTTTCCAGTTCACACAGCCAAAGTGATGGCTAAAAAGGAGAGGGGAGCAAACTTGGCTAATGGCATCTCTATAAAAATGCATGACATTACAGGCATTCAGAATGGCTATGGTGGAAGAAGCCAGCAGAGCATCCCAAGTGGAGGAAAGGGCAGGGAGCCACCTTGCTGCTTGTTTTCCTGCACTCCAGAGCAGCTTTTCAGGAGGAACTAGGGGCTGCAAAACAAGCATATCCAAAATTACCTCTCTGTTCTTTCCTGAAGCACAAGCAGAACTCTGATAAGTACTGCTTTCCATTTAACCTAACCTACATCTGAATATTAAATTATAAAATGGAGCCTATGAAGCCACGGGGGATCAAAGAACGCTACTTGTGCTCAGAGTGTTTCTATACCAAGTTCATTCCCCTTCAATGTGTTTATCAGTGTTACTGTAACAAGGGGCAGAAGTACATAAAATCAGCCTACTATCCACTACCTGCTAACATGAGATTGGTAATATAGACTCACTTTCTGATCAAGAAAACAGTATTAATCAATTAAAATAGCACTAATTTATTTTAGTGCCTTAGAACAGCAAAGAATTGAAGCCGTAATTAAGCAAGTTCATACATATATTCATTCAACTCTGGAAGTGAAAAGGAAGTAGGCAACTATATGCAAACTGATGCTATTGATCTACTATTTCTCTTACTGCTCTCAATCTTGAACCTATTAGAAAGCACACCATCTGATAACAAAAAGTACTTTTGTTTTACTGATTTCCTGCAAAGTACTGGTATGTAGGCTATATTAAAAGCTAGCTTATTATAATTTTCAGAGTTTTAACCCTGTTTTCAGAAAATAATTTTGTGAAACGTGCAATAATGGTAACATCCTCTTTTGCTTGACACTTACCCAAGATACAGTTTGAAACTTGAGAGTACAAATACCCTTTTCACCATGTTTAAACAGTTTGTATACTTTCAATTCACATAAAAAAAAATTTCCAATAGTGATATAACCACTTTTCATATGTCTTTGTCCATCATTCTTCTTCTCTACTGCTTATTCTTATAATCTGAGAAACATGATTTATTTTGTTCATCTTCAGATTCCATTGTTCAGTTTCAGGCAACATGTTTTCTAAAAGAGAACAGGTTCCTCTTACATTTGCACCATTACCAAAATTAGCATTATAGTTTTTCTCTGTACTTCTCATAAACATTCAAGAGATTATCTCAGGTTCTTAACAAGCAAGGGCTGGAGGTAGTGTAGTACCACAGGGACCTGGGAAATGGAATCTGAAAAAGAAGATTTGGGATTTAAATTGTTTTTCAATAAATCATACATACATATTTTGTTCATTTAAACAATTTATGGAGTTGCCCATCTCATAGCAGTGCCTATTATAAATGCATTTTGGCTGCTATGTCAAAACTTCAATCAAAAGAGAGGTATATGATCCTCATGCCAGTATAATAAGTCTTTAAAAAGAGACTGTTAAAGCCTTTTCTTATTCCTTCACCTTTGATCTTCATTTGTTTTTCCACTGACTTCTATGGTGTTGGTAAGAAGACATAACAAACTACAGATTTGGCTGTAAACTAGAAGATGGCCTTGTCTTTCTAGCAAACATCTATAATCCTTCCAATTCTATTTACATTACTGCAAAAACAGGATCTCAGCATAACAACAAAGTTACCTGAATTTATCTGTTGCTGGAGTGCTTTGCATGTTGAATTCTGCAACTGGCACTCCCCTGGCAGATACCTGAGGAGCAAACATAGCAGCAGGATATACTATAGAAGAAGTTCCAATCTGTGAAAGAGAAACAATAGACAGCTGTATCAAAGTCAGCAACATGATGACTGAACTTAAAAAGCTTTCCCACTAACTTTGCCTGAGTTATTTGCTTTCTCAATCTCTTAACTAGAAGACTTGACCACATCCTATGAGTTCATTCCCACTGTTTTCAATATTAAGGCAGCATTAGGATTAAACAGATGGTAATACTAGCCTTCAACCCCAGATCTATAAGCTGTCTTCATATTCTTAAAAATTATGATTTTTAGTGCTGGTGCAGACATATACTAATAACTGCAATTAATATCAAAAGGGCACAGAGGCATCCACTGGAACAGAGGGAAAGCAAGAGTATATGTAACCAATGAAGACACTTCACTAAGTGTCAGCCTTTCAAGATAGACCAGACTTGAACACCAAAGTTGTGAATACTAAAACTACTTTTATTAGAGGGCTAGTAACAGAATCTTGCAACTCTGAATGTGCCTCCCCCCTCCCTGCCTTTATCCTAAAGAGAACTAGGGAGGGTCAAGTCTGAGACATTTTCTCAAATGCTATTCCTGCTTTGGACCCAGATTTCTCTTATCTGATCACTGCCTTGGCTGCAACTCTTCCTCCTGTTCCTCAAAATTATTCTCACAGCCCATTACAATAAGTTTTAGTAATTAACAAATATCAAATCAGTTTATATAATTATTTATCCCCACTGATAATTTGTGTGTGTGCGCGTGTGTGTCTTTGGGTCATTCTTCACTTCTGGCAACTCCCTGGACAAGTTCACACATTTTTCTAGGCAAGATTTTGGAAGTGGTTTGCCACTGCTTTTTTTCCCTAAGAAAGAGTGACTGTCCCACGGTCACCCAGCTGGCTTTGTGCCTAGGGTGGAACTAGAACTCACACTGTTCTGGTATCTAGCCTGATGCCTTAAATCACTGCACCAAACTGGCCCTCACTGATTATAATAAGAAATTATAATTTTAATGTAATTAATTACAATTAATAATATTTGGCAATACTGACCCATACAATGTTAACCTTGTCCTGCCTCAACTCAGTAATATTTCTTGATGAATGTCACCTTTGCCCAGTTTCTGGGTCAGCTCCTAGCCAACTTTTGCTGATTTTGAAAAAACCCTAAATTGACGCTTTTGAACACTGGTGTTGGAGAAGACTCCTGAGAATACTATGGACAGCCAAGAAAACAAATGGATCATCAAACAAATCAACCAAGAATTCTCACTCGAGGCACAAATAACCAGGCTCCAATTATCCTACTTCGGACATACAACCTAGATATCTGGAGAAGACTCTAATGCTGGGAACGATAGAAGGAAAGAGAAGAAGAGGATAGCCAGCAGCCAGGTGGATGGACTCAGTCACACTGGCGATGGGTGCACTGTTGGAAGACCTAAAAGCCCAGGTTAGAGACAGATCATCATGGAGAAAATCTATTTGTGTGGTTGGTAAGAGTCAACAATGACTTGATGGCACATAATCAAGCCGGGCTGGAGCAGAAAACCCCAGGGCTGGTCACTATGTTAGGAAACTGAAAAAACATTCCAAAAGAAGGCAGTGTATTATTTATATCGTTGTCAATGAAACATGCTACATTTGATATTTGCTGACAGATACCTCTCCTAAAAAAGCATATAATTTTACTTGGTTAGGTGTCTTAACACACTGAGAAACACTGTGATGCAGCAGTTAAAGTGTTGGACTAGGGCCTGGTTGATCCTCAGTCATGGAACGCTTTGAGTACTCTTTTGGCCCAGCCTATCTCACAGGGTTATGGTGGGGAAAAACAGAAGGAGGGAGTACTGTGTACCTTAACCCCTGAATTAAAAGTGGGATATAAATCTAATAAAGTAAGAAAGGCAAATAAATTTTAAAAATTACTCACCACCAAACAAAGATCACACATCTCAAGTTCTTTTTCAACCTTTGTAAGGATATTAGAATCCAAAGTTTCTCCAAACCACACAACATGAGGGCGCAAGAGGCCATTGCACAGTTCACATCTGTCTTCCCCAAAATATGGAGAAATTATATTCATGATTGAAGCAAAGCAGAAAGATTAGTAAAGCAATTTAAAAGCGTTGGTTACTATACTTTAAAATATATTGCACATATATCAATTTCAGTGCAAAAGTATGGCATATTGTTTAAATTCTAAAGAAATCCACTAGGAAAATCTTCACAATTTATACAATATATTTAATCCAAATAAGTTACTCAAAATTTTTCACTAGTCTTGATATTGTTGTTGTGCAAATAAATATTCCAGCCAAGGAAATATATTTTAAGTATATGGATTTTAAAATAGGGGAACTAAATACATATAATGCTTTCTTCTGCTAAAAATCACTGGGCCTAAAAATACTCAACTTAGATGATTCATGTAACAAAAGGCTAAACTTTTATAATATTAATCTAACCTCACTGTTTTGTTTTATTCCATTGTGGTTTTAATTACATTTTATTTGATAAGATTCTAATCCCAAAACCTCTTAGAATGAGCAAAACAAAAATAATAGCTGAATTATAATCAACTGCATTTCAAATTAAGTGTCACTGAATTAAATATAAATATACTTAGAAATGCAGCATATAATACAGATGTTAGTAGCCCAGTGGGTACCCACTAATGCTGGAAGCCATCCATTGGCAAACCAAGAGGAAGATTTGGGGTAATTCTCCTTCTCCCTGGAGGCCTAAGGTTGGGGCTCATTTCCAAGCCAATTTGGAGAAGTAGGGAGGGGGAGGAAAGAGAAAAATCCTGGAAAAGAGATCCTTATCACTAATTTTATCATGAGTATGACACTAACTGGATATTACCAACATACAGAGCATTTTAATTTCAATAGCATATTACTCCTACACATACACATATATAAGAATCAGTATTTTTCACATTATTGCTGAAGGCACATGGACAGGCATTTTAAAACATAAAATGTATATTTCTAATTGGTTAAAAATATGTTTTATACCAGTCAGTCTTAATCTACTGAAGTTTAGGTATTATGCTATTTTTATTCTAATAAATACCAGTTTCTTGAGTATACTGATCAGAAATCATCTTTTGGATGAAGATCATTTTTTTAAAAAAATGCTGGTTTCATCTGCATTTCATCAGCAGAAAGTGTAAAAGTATTAGAAACACAGGTTCCATTCACATTTTCAGAGAATCCTGTCGATGAAAATGCTTTCTTATTCTGTGAACAAGCGTTTGCTGTGTGTATTCTTTCATGCCCTCCAACAAATGCTCTTACAGGGCAGAGGCAGGATGTATAATTCTGTTCCCTCTCTGAACTTTAATGAATATGAAAAGCTGCAAAGTTGCAATCATTCAACCGCAACATAGAGCTCTTTGTAACTCAAACAGATCTTGTTGGTGACAAATCAGCCCTCAACACAATATCATGGATATACACACACACTACTTGTATGCCACATGAGATCAAAACTTACCGAGGGAGATTTCCCACAGGAATAGCAGCTTCTTCAGTATCAGGATCTGGAGCACTAGAATTGTTAATAACAACAATAAATATTCTAAGCAAATATTTAAGTTAAAATTAGTGTCATATCCTTCCTAGTACTAGAAAACCCCTAGTTTTAGTCTTATTTTAGTGAGATAATCAACAACATGCAGATTATTTCTCTTGAAAACTAGTTTGAAGAAAGCAATAATAATGATTTTAAGAAATAGGCTAAATTGTCATTACCAAGGAAAAGTTTTACTCTAATGGGAAATGAATATAGTATTTTGTAAATTTCCATGTAATAAAGCTTGTCTTTTTCTTTCTTTTTTCCTACTTTAAAACATCACATTTTTAAAGAGATCATTTTCTTGAACTTTTAAACATTTATAGATTCTTAGGGAGTGATTCAGCAAAATATCAATCTTTGCACAGTCCTCATAATTGCTCTCCTGCATAAATGCTCAGGTAGAAGGTTATATCCCTCAACTGCTCTTGGAACAGTGCAGCAAAATTACGAAAAAAAACCTGCTATCATTCTAACACACACCAGAAATGTTCTGACTGAGCAACGGTACAATTTTACATACAGGTGTTGTTTTTTTAAGCTATTCTGTGTTTTGTTTTGGAATTAAAATTATTGATAGAAAGAAATGGTAAAAGACTCTCCTGGACAACTTCCCAAATTTCTTATATAATGGACAGTAGTAAAAATTAAGTAGTAAAATCTGAAAAGAAATTAAATGGTGTAAAAAACATTTTAATATTTATTTCTCAACTCTATAGCTGAGATCCAAACTGATGTGGGGACCACTCTACACAGGCATTTGTTTTTCCCCTACATGTGAGCAGAAGAGCTTTCCATTTGCAAATGTGAAGTAGGGACAGGACAGCAGCTTACACACTCCATATTCATAAAGCTTTTCTTAAGGAAAAAATCCCTATTTACTTACTTTTTCAGTTAATTTTATCTCAGAATATAAACCCTATCAAGGAAGCTTACAAGAAACATAGAATCATTACAATAATTCTTTTAAAAAGCAACTGAAGCTTTCATTCCTTAGGGATTTTTCTGAGAGCAGTTGCTGGTAAAGGCCCTGTCAGAGAAGAGGCGAGAAGGGGCAACAAGACACAAGTTCAACTACTGCAAATTTCTGAGTTATTGTTTTATCTGCCTTCCTAATGGTACTCTGCATTTCTATTATTCTTCACTAATAAAAGCTGCAGCTATCATGGCACAGATCAATTACCCTTTTCCAGCTAAAGCAGGACAAATTGGATTGTTGTAATTCGCCACCACATTTCTACAACTGGTGCACCGGGTTTTGAATAAGCTACCTGTGAAGTTAAGTAATAATATCAGATTACAATATTAATTTTTAAACTTTTACTTCTGGTAAAATTATAAGAACATGATACAGCCTATAAAAAATGAGAAGTAACAATATAGCTTTGAACAACATACTAGAAATGACTTGTAAGTAAATCAACACAGCTAACTAAAAAGATATAAAATCAAAGTTAATTGGGATGTTTTGAAAAATTTAGAGCAATGGAATGAAAGATTTAACACATACTAATTATACAATTAATGCTACAAAAGGAATGGTAAATAGCCAATTGTTTTTTGGTTTACATTTCCAGTCATTAAAAAAGCTTGCCTTACAGAAATTTTAATTTCCTACAAACTTGTAATTTTTTCATGCATATTTCTAAGGCTATAATATTGCCCATTTCCCCTTCTTGCTGAAATGACTCCCAAGCCTTCAAGAACTGCTGGAGGTAGGGGAAGAATGATAAGGCTTCAGTGAAAAAAAAAAGCATCCCCAACTGTTGTATATGAAAATGTGTACATAAGCATCTGAATCCTGATTTGTTTATGTATGTAATTCTTACTCTCTATTTGCAGATGTTAATTTATAATCTACATTTTAAGGCCAGCTTATATATTACAGAAAAAAAATGTTTTTTTTAACTCAATGGAGCCATAAAATTCCCTATTTATCTGAGCAGTGGTTCTGGGAAAAGGAGTAATATTCCTAGTCTTCCATATTATTTCCCTAATCAAAATCCCTTCTTGTTATTTTAGTTCACAAGCCAAAATACAGGAAAAAGTTTCCTCTCAATCTTTAAAATACAAGCATAAAAGCTATTTTTGTACTCTCTTTAGGGAAATTTGAGACAGAACAGAGAAAGAAAGTACCCAGTCATAGCAAACACAAGATCTTTACTGGTGTTATAACTATTTATTTATATAAAATATGGTTAAATGGGCCATTCCTGTGAATTCTTACCATGAATTTCTAAAACATGCTTTGTTCCTGCTCTTTTGTGGAGCTCATCAATGTTCTGTGTGATGACCGCAACACTCCTGCCTTGCTTGCTTATCTTAGCCTCACACTCTGCTATAGCAAAGTGTGCTGCGTTTGGATGTTTGGTCATCATAAGTTCTCTACGGTAATGATAGAATTCCCATACTCTAGAGGGATTCCTTGCAAAAGCCTCCGGAGTAGCCAGTTCCTGTGAAAGGAAAAAAAACATTGCTTGTTTTGCTAAAAGAAAAAATATCCATAGCTGACTATGAAGACTATCTTCATTGATATGAAGTTGCAATGGCATAAAAACAGCTTGCATTTATACAGTATATTTCGGTGTTCAAAATGCTTTATGAATATCATGAGAAAAGGTTAGTGTAACTTCAGTCTGTTTAAAATCACATATTATATCAAAGCAGGTTTTAATAAAAATATAAAATACAGCTTTACAGTATCATTTAAAATAGAGAATCGTGAAGCCTATTGATAACGAATGTTACAAAATGTAGAATTAGATCAAAGAATCTCTGTTACAATAACTTCCATTTCAGCTTCTCAAAATCTACTCAAGGTTTTCAATTTTTGTGATATTTATCTTATTAATTACATTTAGTAAAGTAAATTAAGTACTAAAGTAATCAACAGTCCTGTAAAAGAGAACCACACCTTGAAGTCTTGCTATGCTGCCTCATCATGATGAGGGAATATTCCTGGGGGGATGAATGAAGAATAATGAAGAAGTGTACATCAAGAGCATATACTCCCAGCAGGGTTCCCCAAGGCATGAAGTGACCTTCCCAACTGCCCAACTAAAGCAAGCAGGCACCTAGTTCAGGCAGCAGTGATATAGGAAGAAGCAGGTAATCACTTTAGTGACAACAGTCATCATTTCATACTGTGCAGATGAAGGCAATGATAAACCATTCCTATATTTTCCTATATAGGATATTACCTTGTCTTAGATAGACAAGATAAAGCAGTTGGCATATAGTGCTGGATGATGGATCCCTCAGATCACACAGCACTCAATATACTATTAAGGAAGAGCTCAGAGTTCTAATGGTGTTTATGACATAACTAGATTAAAGCCTTCAAATGTCTAGTTCCTATTGTTGCCACACAGGAAAAGAAAATCTAAAGCTGCAAAGACAGTATTACAGAAGGAACATGGAACATAAAAAGCATGAACATGAGAAACCCAACACAGTGAAAGATGAAATGAATTGACTACAAATTGGTATCTTAGGACTCAGGGAATTGAAATGGATTGGAATTGGACATTTTCAGTGAGAAGATCACACTGTTTACTATTCAGAGCATAAAAAGCAAAGATGGAACATCTTTATAGTCAGAAAGGACAGAGCAAAGACGGTACTTGGGTACAATGCAGTCAGTGACTGAATAATATTAACTAGACTTCGCAGACAATCCTTTAATATGGCAGTTATCTGAGTTTATGCTCCAACCACTGATGCAGAAGAAGAGAAGGGTGATGAGTTTTATGGTCAAGTTCCATCTGAAACCAACAGAACATGCAAACAAGATGTGCTGCTTGTGGTTGGAGACTGGAATGCCAAAGTTGTGCTTCACTGATTACAAAAAGGCCTTTAATTGTGTTGACAATGGCAAACTGTAGAATGTCTTTAGGAAAATGGGAATCTCAGAACATCTCATTATCCTTATGAGAAACCTATAAACAGGACAGGAAGACGCAGTCTGGATGGAACATGGAAAAACAGACTGGCTCCAAGTTGGCAAAGGAGTGAGACAAGGCTGTATACTCACTCCTTATTTCTTCAACCTATGTACATAATAAGTACTGAAGAAGGCTGGATTGGAAGAACATGAGCATAGTTTCTTTCTGGAGGAAGAAACATCAATAATCTGTGTTATACTGATGATACTACTCTGAAAGCTGAAAAAGCAAATAACTGGAAGCTCTAGTAATGAAAGTCAAGGAGCAGAGTGGAAAATGAGACTAAATATAAAGAAGAACAACTAACGGCAACTGGTACAGCAAACAACCTTAGAACTTAAAACAAATACATTGAAGTAGTAGATAGTTTCTGCCTTTTAGGATCGACTATCAACTATCATAAAGCAACCAGCAGTTAAGAAATACACCACAAACTAGCAATGAAGGTCTTGGAAACAATATTCAGATCCTATCACATGCAGGCTTCCATCTGACACTCTATGGAAGCACTGGACTCTGAAGAAGCAGGATAGAAAGATTATTTACATTTGAATGTAAAAACTCCTGATTATACCATGATCTGTCAAGAACACAAACAAATGAATCACAGAACAAAACAATCCAGATTTATCACTCAAGGCACAAGTAACCCAGATCAAATTATCATATTTTGGACTCATTATGTGAAGACCTAGCTCTCTTCAGAAATCTACAATGCTGGGAAAGGCAGAAGGAAAGAGAAGAGGACAATTAGCAGTAAATTGGATGGACTAGATTATAGCAGTGATAGGTGCACTGTTTGAATAACTCAAGGGTCTGGTTGGGGGCAGATCATGCATAGGCAGAAGGTCTGTCTATGTGGTCAGTAAGGGTCAACACTGACTTGATCACACATAATCAAAAGATAGAATTAACTTCACTAACTTCTGCAGAGAAAACTGAAAATGGAAAGACTGGTTCAGTGAATACAGTGAAATTGTAGCTATGGTGAAATTTGAAACAGCTTTAACAGTATTATTTTCAGTCATCAATTTCATCAACTATTGCTTAAAATGTTTTTTTTTCCATTGGAAACAACAAATACATTCAGCAAAATTTAATCTGCAAAGACAGCTACACAAATAAGACAATCTCAGTTACACTAAAATTGCCTATCCTTCTTGAATGGCATGGAAAGTCTTAAAGAAATTACTAATCTTGGAAAAAAAGCTAAAAAGTCTTATTACTTGTGATTCAAAAAGAAAAATGGATGTATTAAAGCACTATAACCCAACAAATGATGCTGTTAATTCAGTGAAATCTCAGTGTACCAAACCTCAATGCAACAAGCTTCACTTAGAACAGACCAATTTTCAGCAGCAGTGTTGTTTGCAAATGACATATATTGATGGAAACAACATTTGTGTCATTATCATTCCTTAATACACTATGTAATTTGCATCATTTGCATAATGAGGAATATTGATGGAAATGACATCATTGAGAGTTGTACAGCATGCAAGTTTAATAAATTCAATTATGATTATGCATATTATATATATTACCACAGGTGAGTATCTTTCATAACTAATGGACACGCTTTTCTCCCAATTAATCCATTAAAATAAGATTGTCTTGTATGTTAATAAAAGTTTACAATTCTAGCAGAATGTAATTATAGACTTTCACATTTACTACTCATAAACATTCTGAAATACACTGAGACAATTTTGAAAATAATTTTAGTTTGATACTATTGTGTTTCACCTAGTAGTATACTGAGTAATATGATTAGCTAACTAGCTTACATATCAAGATTTTTGATTAGCTAACTAGCTTACATATCAAGATCCATAGGTCTACTATGGATAGAGTTACATGTCATTCTAAGCCAAGGGCTTGGTTTTAACTTAGCATGCTGGGTGAGCCAGGCCACTAGTGTGTTTTGTTCTACAAATTGTGCTCAAAACACCTATTTAGCATGATATGTCACACTGGGTAATTAGATTCTTAAAAAGTACTAAGGCTATTAAGTAACAATATTTAGAATCCTGAAAATATACCAATAGTACACACTTGTGCAGGCCATTTCCTCCAATAGCCTCCTGCACCTCGGAAAGTTGGAACACCGCTCTCTGCACTGATTCCAGCCCCTGTAATAATAGCTATATGTTTTGCTTTAGCAAATATTTCTCGAAATTCAGCCATATCTTTAAAAAAAATGAGAAAAATGCAATTATTACATTTTTGAAACACATTCTCAATACACAGACAGTTTTGATTAGGGTATAGAAAATTTATAGTGAAATTATTTCTCAACTATGCAAATTCCTGTAGTGAGTGGTCCTAAATGTCAGTCTAATCAGCTCTGTCTGAATGCTAGATATGGATCTTAAACATTTCTGGGGACCAGGACAGGCAAATATGTCCCAAAGATAAATTAAGCTTGCATATTGGTCTTTTATGTATTTAAACTAGAGCTAAAGAAAAGAATAGATGGTTAGGGTTATATAGCTTAAATTAGACCTATATAAAATCTATTTGGCATGGTAAGATCTCAGTTTCTAAGGAATCTTGTGCAGCTTGGCTATTAAGCCCTAAGAATTAAAAACAGACTTCCCAAAAATTTATACTGCTTTTCCTTGTTTTTACTGTCATTACTTAAATAGGTCAAAGAAAAACAATAACCTATTTTTATGGTGATCTAGCATATCTAATCAATTTATTTAAAAAATGGCTTTTCTAATGTGAATTGCTATTTATTTGTCAAATTTAGAAGGATGCAAAACTCTATAAAACCACTGGATTGCATACAATGTTAAAAACAAGAACCAATATAATAAGAAAAAGAATGAAGCACATTCAAAAGAAAAAACATTCAGATTAACATATAAAAGCATATAAGGGCTTGCCACCCACACTAATTCAAGCTCTAGGAGAAAAGCCAGGTTTTGGGAAACTTTTAAAATATGGTGAGAGTAGAGATCTCTTTGGGGAGGGGTGTTGTTCCAGAAGGAAGGCACTGCAACAGAAAAGGGCCACTTCCTGGGTTGTTTGACTGGTAGGATCCAGAGCATACCCATTCTGTCTCATCATACTATTGTGATTAACTCCCTTTACAATTGACTTTATTATTGATTATGGGCCCAATCCAGGACAGTTAAATACCAGTAGTTTCTACTGATTTAACCAATGTCCTGTGTTGGATAGTGCCCAGAAATCTGGAAAAAGCAACTCTACGGACACTGCACATATATAGAAAATTGTATGTTCTAAAAACACAAAGACAAGTTTTAGATAAGCAGTGGGGATAATTATATTTTATTGCAAACCTTTCTAAGTCAAGCAAAATGTGCAACTAGCTTTAAAAGTAGGTTGAAATAAGGAGATTTCATATGGAGACTTCTTTATACTATAAAATCTGTTCCCCAAATTCAGATTTTATATTATATATAAAATACATCTCACTTTTGGATCTGAAGGGGAGGAGTAGACAAAATTGTAAAGGTGAATCTCCTGATTGCTATTTCTTCTCTATATATAGCAATTTTAAATCATTTTATTTTTAAACCCAAGGGGTTTTTTGGGGGGTGGGGGTGGACAGAGAAATGATGAGGAAGATATGGTGGTGCAGGAGAAACAATCACCTCCTCTCTTATTCAGTCCCCTCACAAACAATTTCTTTGCTCTCTTCATTCAGGCTCATACATTGGCCAAATAATATCAGTTTTACTCTTAAACAGTACCTTATAATGTACCCAGAAAGAGCTACATTTTAAAACATTCCATTAATAAAGGGAAATAAATTAACAAATCTCATTATCTGTACAATCTCCATCAACACTTCTCAATGCCAACATGCTGTATTTTTACATGTCATAATTCATGTGTTACACAAGAAGTGATATTTTTATCTTCTGAGTATATTAAAGAATCCCATCTTACTTGAACTAGGTCGTGCCATTTCAAAGTATAACTTTTCTTTCTTGGCAGGAGCAAGTTTAAGTCCGCAATATACTTGAGAAACCAACTTCCTCGTGGTAAGGTGGAAAAGCTTCATTAGGATCCTGTATAGTGCTAAATGAGGTTGAAAATAGTTAAGTGCAGAAGTGTGATATATCTACCTGACAAAATAAAACAGCAATTTCTATGTAGCTTGAAAGGCAAATTAGGATATTTACCTGCATTTATTCTGGATATATCTCATTGTGATTAGCATAGCAAATACATATATATGACCTAATAAATCGGTCATATCCTGAATTGCATAACAAGCAGAAGAGCAGCACTCTTTTCCATTCTAGTGCTAAAAATATTCAGAGCCCAATGAAATGTACTATAATACACTGCTTCTCATGTTGGCTCTTGTGTGATAGAATTTTCCACAGTGATTACTCTTGCAGACCTCTTTTCTCATTTTGCCAACTCCCCTCAAGCTAATACAAGTTGTTGAAGCCTTTCAGGGCTTATTCACCAGACTGCTACAAGTAAAGAGAATTCCTGAAACTGGAAGCTGTGAAAAAGTTTATGTACATATCAAAATGCATGTTTTTTCTCACAGAAGCAAAAGAAGTCTAATTTTACTCATTGAAGGACCAGTCCAATGCAATTTGTAGTACTGATTTTTAAATTCTACCTTTGTATTCTAGCTAGGTTTAATTTTTTATAAAATCTTTTATTTTATATGATGCTGATATCTACCTCAATATGCAGTCTACCTACTCAGCTAAGATTATTCACATTCCCTGCCTTATCAGTGTACTGTTGTTAGTTGAGTTCATGTTTTGCAGCCATATTTCTCATATTCCTCCCTGATTTTGACATACAAATCTTCTCAACATTTTTCCTACTCCAGAATCGCTCAGATGCTGTATTCTAGAAAACCTAATCTACTGCATTAGATTTTATTAAACCAATGCCTAGTACAGTCACATTTGAGTCAGGATTGCCTCCTGGTGATTTACATGGACACATCTTTAATGTTTTCTTAGCATGATTTGGAGATGGTTTAAAAACCATTAGCTGATCTAGTCAAATTGCTTTGAAAAGCTAAAGACTCTCACCTTGGCTCCTGGGACTTTGCTGTCATGATAAATGACTCAAAGCAAATTGTGCAAATTACACAGATCCTGAAGTCAGATGATGCCAGAATTGCATGAAGACTTACCAGATGCCAACCAATGTATCAGTTATGAAAGTATTCACGCATTCACTTTTAGTTGTGAAAACTCACCAGGAATGCTGATGTCCCTTTTCACAACACATTACTAGGTAGAGAGCCCATTCCCAAAGTAGTAGTGTTACATCCCAAGGAGTTGTTTTGAGTATGGGGGGGAGGGGGAGAAGCAGGGCACAACCCAGTGGAACACAATACCGCCATCACAGTTAAAACTAAAGTTGAGCCTGCTGAAAGGCAGAAAATAAATGGAATAATAAAGCTTAAAAAGAAAAAAGAGTATACGGAGAGGTATAATAATGTGCTGAAACTGTACACTGGAGCCCTGGCTTCAGTTCTTCCACTTTCCTATACTGTTTTAATCAAACCAATTTGCCCCACCCTCAGTTTCCTAGTCAATAAAGCAGGATGGAGGAGGTAGGGACAGCAAGGGATGTCCCATGAAGCCTAGAAAACACTTCACGCCTTTAAAAAACTACGTTAAGTGACCATTTAAATTCAGCAGACCTGTATCTGAAGACCTGTCATTTTCTGGAGTTCTGCCTACTGTATACAATTAATTCAGGAAAACAGAAGAAGGAAAACACCAGGACTTTTGTTAGCACAAATGTATATTCGCCACCTTGAATTGACATACAGTACATACATACATACATAAAGGCAGGATAAGAATATTTTATTACTATTCCTGTCACAAGGAGGAAGAAACAGGCCTAAACAAAATAGGGCCCGCCCTCCTCTCCCCAACATAGGTCACCCAGGGTTTATGAGCTCGACAAAGGCGAGGGGCTGGAATTGGTTTCCCCTCCGTTAAGGAAGCAGCCGAAAAGCCGTTAATAAAAGTGCCCTCCCCAGCCCACCCCACCCCCCCCCACGCCGCCGCTGGT